TACTCTCTTGGAGCCCTAACATGTTTATCAATACTTTAAAATGTTTGAGAGATATTTTCATAATATATGTATTTTTATAAGAAAAATTTATGTATAAATCTTAATAGGTAGATTTATTATTTAATAGATCTTATAATAATTAATAATATTTTTTATCAAATACTATTAGAAAACGTCATTAATTGTTAATTTTCATCGACAATTTAAAAATTTTGTCACAAAAATGTTACTAATTATAAGTTTTAGCAACAATTTAAAAAATTATCACAAAAAAAGTCACTAATTTTTAACTTTCAGTGATAGTTTGAAAAATTCATTACAGAAAACATCATCACTTGTAAGTTTTAGCGACAATTTATAAAAATGATGACAAAAAAGTCATTAATTGTCAATTTTTAACATGTGTAAAAAATTGTCACAAAAAATTATTTTCAATGATGATTTACTACGACTTATTTTCAATAGGATTTGATGAAAATCAAACTTAACTATTAGGACTTATTAATAGTTTATCATTTTTATTATAATTTATGATTTCAATAATTTAATAAAATTACATTGTAATTTCGAGCTTTAAAGAAACAATAACGTTTTTGGTTATTATAAAATGGTAAGTAATTAATGAAATTTGTTGGTAATTATATTTTCATTACTTATCTTCAATTTAAACATTCAAATTAATTCATATTATAAAATGGTAAGTAATTAATGAAATTTGTTGGTAATTATATTTTCATTGCTTATCTTTAATTCTCTCCATCGAAACATAACTTCAATTTTAGTTAGACTAATGTTATGGCTTTTGTTTTCGTAAGTAAATAAAAATAGAGAGATTGACCAATAAGTCTCATATTTTGAATTTATAATCCATATAGCCCTTTTAGATGTGAAATAACTCGTTTACCCGTTACATTAGAGTGTCACATTTGAAAAAAGTACAGTAACAAGTTCTTTAGTATCACATCATATTCGCCACATTGGAGTGTCACATTTGGAAAAGGTACATTAAAGAGTTTTTAATTTTTTAGAATGTCATATCATACCTGTCACGTTGGAGTGTCACATGTCACGTTTGGAAAAAGTTTTAATATTTTTTAGAGTGTCACATCATACCCATTACGTTATTACATTTAAAAAAAATATATTAAAGAATTTTTAATTTTTTTAGAGTTTCACATCACACCTATCATGTTGTCATATTTAAAAAAAGTACATCAAGGAGTTTTAAATTTTTTTGAAGTAAAAGTTTTAGAGTGTCACATCATACCCGCCACGCTATTACATTTGAAAAAAAATTTACTAAGGAGTTTTTAATTTTTTTAGAGTGTCACATTAATATTTGTCACATTGAATTTCACATCATACCTATCACATTAATAAAAAGGTATAGTTATTCACCAAAACACTACTAAAATCATAAATGGGATCACACGGAAAGAAACTCTCTACTAATAAGACTTAACAGATCAATAGAAAAAACTTGAGACTAATTAAAGTACTTATCTATGAGATGAAATTCATTAATAAATATCCCTTAAAAAGCGAGATTGACCAATAATACTGAAAATTTATGAATTTTAATGCTAGCGGCATTTATAAAATGCTTTAATTAGCAAATTTAATTCTAAGCTCATGTGAGTCAAGTCAAGATTTATAGAACGTAACGTTACGGATTCAAATATAAAAATTGAAAAATCATTCAAAATTTTACATTAATGACTTAGATTTATTACATATATAGATTCTACACTTTATTAATTTAATCTCCATTATATATACTATTTCGGGATAAATTATGAGTCCCTAACTCTTTTGTTTAAAGAATAGAAAGAGTAGTTAAAAAAAGAAATAAAAGAGAGAAAGAAAGGAAGAGTAATGTTACCTGCACAGAAAATTTGTGTAAAAAACTCTCACGCAAAGATGGGGTCCACACATGTGGGACCACCCTGATGTGAACGTTTTTATGCATTCTATGCATAGATTTTTTAAGTTCCGTTAATTTTCAGAAGTATAATAAAGATAATTTATAGTAAGGAAATTAATAATGAAGGGATTAAGTAAAATTGTGTTTATTTTGATGATAGTTATTAGTGTTGAAATTGTTAAATTATTTTTATATAAAATAATAAAATAAATAAAAAAATATAAAAAATTAAACATTGCTATTTAAAAAAAAATTACCAATATATAAAAAATAAAAAAATTTCTAATCCTCTTACTATTTTTTTAATACCATCTCTATCTTCACCATCTCAATCCCCCTTTCAACCTCTATCTATATCACCTCCTCTATCATAATCCCCTCCCAACTCTACAAACAAACACAACACTAAATAATCTTACTTCCATTATAATCCCCTCCTATCTATTTAACCTCAAAACAAACGGGGCCTTAAGGAAATCTAGTTATACATTTCTCCATAATTTTTAGTAGTACGAGAGTTTTAGTATTTTTTTTTTTATTAATTAAGGTCTCTCAATAATGTTATTAGAAAATTTTTAACTCGTTACAGAGGAATTTCAACTCATCACAAAGAAATGACGAGTTAAAATTTCTCTATCAAATTTCTCTTTAAAGAAATAAAAAAATTTTAAACCGAAATTTCTCTGTAAAAATATTAAGAGATTCCAACTATTATGAAAATATTATATTTTTTTTATCTAATAAAATTTTAATATCAAAAATCTTAAACTACAAATCTCAATTTTTTATTATAGAAATATATTTTACTTGTTTCATAATAAAATTTTTTAAAAAAAACAATAAAAAAATTTTTGTTGACGAGGTTCCCATAGCAACTCCGCTTGAAGGAGCCAATAATAATTCACCAACTATATGGGATGCAATAATCAGCCCTTGTTTGCAAACTTGACTATTTTAATAATTTTTTTAGTTGTTTTATGAGATTAAAAAAAAAATTATGTTTGAGATAATTTATAATTTTTTTATTTGAATAAGTAATTATAAGAGAAAAAATAATTAATTAATGTATAAAATATAACATTTTACCTTATTAATTATTTTAACTTCTTTTTATCTTTATTCACTATTTTAACCAAAACTTTACATCTCAAACACCACCTCATCAAAAAGAAGCCATAAACATTTATGGATTCGTTTGGGAAGTTGTCATTTTAGTAGACTATTTTAATTTTTGGCTATTTTAGTAGGTTAAAATTTTTGTGTTTGAGAAGATGATTAGATTTTTTTATGGTTGGATGTGATGTTTGTGAGAGAAAAAGTGAAACAATTATGGGTTTGATGTGATATTTTGTCTTATTAACTATTTTAGCTTATTTTGTGAATTTTAGCCTAAACTAATCTTTTTGTGAATTTTAGCCTAAACTAGGCTATAATAAAACTAGCGGACCACAGTGTTTACATTCGGTGGTCGCCTCCGCATCTGATACAAGCTCGTAACGCGGAAATTCGGTATTCCTCAGTCTTCTCCATTCTTTTTCAAACTTTATCCTAAAAATTTCATGTCAAGACAAAATATAGCTATATATAAAATAGAAAATGTTTAATTTTTTTATTAATTGTAAATTTATTTAAAAATTAACTAATTAGAAAACATAATCTGTTGCCGGTCCAGTGTGAATAAATTTAAGACTGTTTTATGATTTTTTTAATATTACTCATACATAATTGAATTTTCTTAAAATATCTTGTGCTCATAAAAAAATTGTTATAAAAAAGTTTAGAAATAAAAATATGTGAATTTGATTCATAAACTAAGCTTAAATTTAAAACATATTTTTGGTTTAAATTTTTTTAATCAAAATTTTTTTTTTGCCTATGAAATTCGGACCTTTGAGCTATTCAAATTAAAAAATTAAAAATTTTTTTAATTTAAAAAAAAAAAAAAAAAAAAAAAAAAGGTATATAAAAGCTTTGTTTAGAATAATTTTTTTAGTATAATTTTTTAATTATTTTGTTTGACTAAAATTTTTTTGTTTGAAATAATATTTTGACTTTTTTTATTTGAATGTGATGATTATAAAAAAAAATGATTATGATTTAAATGTGTCAATTTATTTTATTTTAATATTTTAATTTATTTTATTTTTTGTGAGCTAAGACCTCGTTTGGAAATATATTATTTTAATAATTTTTTTATTAAAATACTTAATACCTAAACCAGACGTAAATTAACCCATCGCACATGCCAAACATCCCCATAAGGCTTTGTGTAAATTAACCCATCGCACATGCCAAACATCCCCATAAGGCTTTGTTTGAAAGTTGGGTTGATTTTTTGGTATTTTGATTATTTTAGTATGTGATTAAAAAATCTCGTTTGTAATAGATTTTTAAAATTTTTTTGACTTTTGTAAAAGAAAAAATAAAATGATTATAATTTAAATGTGATATTTTATTTTATTAATTTTTTAACTTATTTTTTTATTATTTTTTTGACTATTTTAATCCAAAAAAAAAACCCCGAATTTCTTAATGCCAATCGAGCTTAAGTTAGCTACTTTCTGAGCCATGGACTGACTCGAGTCGACCATTCATTAAAATTTCGCAAAATTGGGGGAATTTTTTTTTGGATAACTCTGAAAGTCGAGAGAGACAGATGCAATCACATAAATGATCTTGCACTCTTGGTGTCTTAATTATTGTTCTCACTCTCTCTCTCTCTCTCTGCCTTCTCTCTCTCAGAAACACACAGAGTGCTATCTAAGAAGAACACCCACCATAAATATATGTAGTCTCTGCAACTCCCATGATTGGACGGTTATGATGTGTATAGGAATATGAATGTATGCGTGTGTATATATATGTGGTGATATCTCCTGTGTGATGTGAGTATAGTTTCCTTTTTTTGTTTTGCTTTTTCCCGGAAATTTGATTCCTTTTTTCCCAGACAACAAGGGGCTTTCGTTGAGGTAAAGATCATCTTGTGGACAGGAAATGTTTTTGGTGCGGGTCGCGTGATTTCTACGTGTTTCCAAAGTCCAAAAGCTTTCCCTAAAACATTCTGATCATTTACTTGCATTCTGATCATTTTCTTGGATTTTCTCCCTCGTAGATTGCGCGAAAGTCGGTGAATTTTCTTGGAATTTCCATGTTTGCATGTCATTTTCCGGGAAAATAAATAAATATATATATATAATCGTTTCCGGGGGATTTTGCTTAGTGGGTTTTTGATTTGCTTTGAATCGTCGCGACTTATTGTGATAAGGGTTGTCTGATTTTGAGTTGTTCTTTGAGTTTTCTTGAAGGGTTAGTGAAAAAAAGAAGAAAAGATATCGAATATTCTGTTTTACAGTTTTTGACTTTTTTGACGAGAAAATCTCGCCGGAATCCGTGTTTTCCGGTGGCCGGAGAAGGGTCTGCATTGACGACATTGCCAGCGAAGAACTCTCTCTCTCTCTCTCTCTCTTCTCTTGCTGTGAATTTAGAGAGAGTTTATAGAGGGAAATTTAGATTTCTTTCTCTTTTGTAAATTAGTTGTCTAAAAAGTCTAAAAATAGAATTCCTGTAGACCGATTTGCATTTTCTTTCTCTCGCTTGGAGGGAAAGAAAGGGAAAGAAAATCCCGACGGTCTCTCTGCCCCTCTCCCATATCTCTCTCTCTCTTTCTCTCTCTGTTTTTCCCTCTTTTCTGTGGGCGTCCTCTGTTTCCAGGGTTTTGAGAGAGAACCAGTGGAACATCTCTCTCTCTCTCTCTCTCTTCCCCTTTTTTCTCAATCTCTCTCTCACAAACATGATTCTCGACAAAGGGTCAATACAATCAAACCTCGAGTGCTTCCTCGATTGCACAACACCGGTGGTCCCATCCCAGTTCCTCCCCAAGGTTTGTTTGTTTGTTTTTTTTTTTAAGAAAAAAAAAATTTCAATGTGTTCTTTAATTTTGATTCAACACAAACACACACAAAGAGAAGAATGATGTGTATAATGATTGTGTGTCTGGTAATTGATGATTTCTGTGCAGAGTGAGATCAGAAACCTTAATAGTCTTTGGCACCCTTGGGAGAGGGAAAAAGTTGACTATTTCACATTGGCTGATCTGTGGAATTGTTTTGATGAATGGAGTGCTTATGGTGCTGGAGTTCCGATCAGTTTGGACAACGACGAAACCCTTGTTCAGTACTATGTTCCTTATCTCTCTGCAATTCAAATCTTTACAAGCAATTCATCGTTGAACGGTTTAAGGTATATCAACTCCATTCTCTCTTTCTAATTTGGTACACAGTTCAGAACATAGATTACTTGTAGTGATTACAAAATGTATCCTTTGGCGTAATCTTAATGTGTTGTTTAAGTTGGTTTCAAGCTTTATAATTTTTTATTGAATTTGTTGAAGCACTCATATTGGTTAATTTTTTTTATTTGTTTGGTATTAATGTTCTTAAATTTAGTTTGGTAACTGAAATGCTCCAACTCCCTATTGATTGCTTGAAATTTTATTGATATTGGTATTTGTGGCTTTTACAATATAGTTTGAGCCCCACTTTGTTTTTATCAAATTGATCTATGGTATCAAGTCCAAGTTTTTCACGGTGAACCATTTTCAGGGAAGAGACTGATTCAGTTTGCGAGACAAGGGATTCATTTAGCGATTCATTGAGCGATGAGAGTGAGAGCGAGAAGTTATCGAGATGGGATGGATGTTCATCTGAGGAGGGAGTGTATGAGCAAGAGAGCCTTTGGCATCTCAATGATAGACTGGGCTACCTCTACTTTCAGTATTTTGAGAGATCAACTCCTTATGGAAGAGTGCCTCTCATGGATAAGGTAACCATTTTCTCAGTTTATTTTGCTCTTTTCCCTTTTGAACAGTTCAAAGTTTGCTTGTAGCTTTTATATGTTCTTTACTTTCATTAACATTTGCTCTGTTTTTAATTTTCTTTTGGGTATTTAATATATGTATTTTTTAATTGAACATAGGAGTTATGAAAATTGTTCTGGATATGTTAGAATCATTTGAATTCCTTTTCATGATAGGCATCTGATAAAGATCTTCTGAAACTTTTGACTTTTGAAGTTTTGAATATGATCAACATCATCTTTTGCTCCATTTCTTTTCTAGAATTACTGGTGGTCTCAATTATACTTCATCTTTATTCTATTCTCTCTCTGTGTTGTATGAATTAATACCAAACTTTTCTTCATGGGCTATTAGATTATTATGTTTTATGAGCATTTGTTCTTGCCTTTGATGTAGTATTGTTCCATAATCATTATGATTTGATTTAGTGTTGGGTATACTCATTTGCTGTGATTGTGATACTAAAGGGGTTTTGAATTTTCAGATGATACGGACTATTACAACAACATAAATTCCTTGCATTACCATACATAGCATAAAAATTTATGTGATTCCCATTGACATCATCTTTTTTTGTTATCTTGCTTTCAGATTAGTGGATTAGCCCAAAGATACCCCGGTTTGATGTCACTAAGAAGCGTGGATCTTTCCCCGGCTAGTTGGATGGCAGTTGCTTGGTATTTCTATCTCTCTCACACACACGCGAACGTATTAATTTGAAAGATATGATTTTAACTTCCAACAATGCAACTCATGTTTTTCTGTCAAACAATTTTAAAAGAGTTGCACATATTTCATATAAACACTTGTTTTCAAATATTCTGTAAAGAAGGGATAAATAAAGAATAAACTAATTAATGGTCTCAAATGATTTTCAGGTACCCAATTTACCACATTCCCATGGGAAGGACCATAAAGGACTTGTCAACATGCTTCCTCACATACCACACCCTTTCATCTTCTTTTCAAGGTATTATATATTCTCTTTCATTTTCACCTTTCTTAGTTTTTTTCTTTTTCAAAAATCAATATATGCATCCCTGATATCTCTGTCACAGACAAATATTGGACATTTTTTTCCTGGGTAATTTGAAAATTAGGAAGAGCATTTTCTATACTTGCTAAATCTCTAAATGGAAGAGCATTTTTCGGTTAAATTTTCTTAAAGCAATAGTATTTTCCCGGGTAATTGGAAAATCAGAAGGTATTTTGTAAATTTTCCTAAAGATTCTGAATTGAAGATTATATATTTGCCCACTTTATTTATAATTTCCAAGAAAATACATCTCATGTTCTTTTCAAGGTATTCTCTTGGCCCCTTTGGCACAGCTATGCTTGTATATATATATATATTCTTTTATTTTCACCTTTCTTAGATATTTTCTTTTCCTAGATACCCAATTTATTTGTGAAAAAAATAAAAATATGCATTGGTGTTGCGGACAGATATGGACCTTGAAGACGACATGGTTAGTGCTGAAAGGAAGAGAAAGGCAGCAGGGGAGGGGATCTCGCTTCCTCCATTTGGTTTGGCCACTTATAAGATGCAAGGCAACGTGTGGGTCTCGGGCAAGAGTGGCAGGGACCAAGAGAGGTTAATGTCGCTTTTGAGCGTGGCAGATTCATGGCTAAAGCAGCTGAGGGTCCAGCACCATGACTTCAACTACTTCACGGGGATTCGGCGTGGCTGAAAAATATCACACAAGCTTCATGATTCACTCCCCCCAACCCCCCCATCACCAAATCGGTTTTCCTAACTGCCAGAAATCCTTGTTTTTTTGGCCTTTTGGTTTTGTGGTGTTGCTTAATTTGAAGGAATGGCCTAACAAAAAAAAAAAAACAAAAAAAAAACAAAACAAAAAAAAGTGAGGATTGTAGTTGATGGTTGTCTTTGTTGAGCTCTGTGATATTTTATTTGAGCATGCTAAAGAATAGAGTTGAGACTTCTTGTTTTCAGTGGAAAAATGAGAATTAGAAAATGGGTGAGGGGAGAGAGCCCCAGGGGCTCTTAAAACTGTGATTTCTTGTTAATGGTTGTTTCCCATTGTCATGACTACAGTACAGAACCCCTTGTACATGAGACTGCCTTTTGCTCTTCGCATTATTCTTCCTATTTTTATGGTTGTTTTTCAAATTTTTTTTTTTATAAAAAAAATACAATTTATGGGAGGGAAATACCGAAATGGAAACTACATCTGCATATATATATTGCTAATGCAAGGCTTGAAACCAGACATCATCATGCTTAGTAAAGAGTGCATAATTCGTACACTTTGGAATGGTGTTATTCACAAATGAGACAGATTTATTTATTTATTTATTTATTTATTTTTTTTAAGCCCCACAATTTCTACAAACACATCAGTATAAGAGAAAAAAAAATAAAAAAATAAAAATTGGCCAATTGGCCAATCACAAAGCATCGAGGGTGTTGGGAGTTTTCGGACTTTTTTCCGGAGTTATTTTCTTTGCATTGTGATTTTCGAAGTGTTTGTTTTTATTAAAATTGATCTTCTTTTGACTTTTAAAATTAACATTTTTGGTATATAGAATTAAATTCACAGAAAAATGAGTGGCGGTGGGAATTAAGAAACAAATATTAATGCAACTTGCAGCAGGGGTTTAATGTAGAAAAATGTGTTTATCCAAACCTAAACGAGGACATTTTTGGGGGACAGAATGAAAATACATGTGATGTATGCTCAAATGTTGTCATGGTTAGCAATGGTAATTATGGTGGCGATTCTGATAAACTTAAGGCTTGGTTTGTTATAATTAAAAAAAATTAAAAAGTTAAAAAGTTATTATCTTATTTAAGTCACATTATCTTATTTCAGTGATATCACTTTTTTATCATATCACTTCAAACTCAACTTATACCTAATCTATATTTCATAAAAAGTCAAAAAGTGTACTAATTTAGTTTATTCCAAGCCAATTTGATCTCTCATTTAGAAATGAATAATGCTATATGTATTAATTAATGTATTAATTACTAAATTAACAGATAATAAGGGGGGTGAGGGGGTGACCCCCAAAAGGGGGTCCCAAGCTATTCATATATCAAATACCTTGGATGTTTCGGACTCATAACTCATATCCAAAATTAAGGAGTTCTTTTCTATTGCATTGTTAGTCCTATGAATTAACGCAACATATAGATTTGAAAACAACAATATATATATATATTTCATAAATCCTCCCATTGACAAGGTTAATGTGACAATCAAAAAATGATATAGATTGATAAGGAAGCATCTATATCTACTTTCTAGTAGTTTTTTTTTTTTTTTTTAAATTACAAATATATATATATACTAATGGGTGGCACACACGATGCGTGTGCAATTTAAATAAGTAGGAATAAAAAAACATAATAATGAAATTAATATTATAATGTGTACTTAGCTTAAATGATATGAGTCCTCGTACTTAAACCCATGGTCATGGGTTCAAGCCTTGTCCATCTCTTTGTTTAACTTTTTTTAAAAAAATAAAAAATACTGCCACATGGCATGATGAGAGTAAAGCTTCAGGTTTCAGGACACACATGGCATGAGGAGAGTAAAGCTTCAGGCTTCAGGACACCATAAGAGGTGTTCACTTTATAATAGTATAGATAGATAGATATAAAATATTAACCTGCATTGATATTTAAAAAAAAATATAAATTTTATAATTTTAACATAATTTTATTTAATTTCCTTAAAAAATTCAACTCACATGCGTAATTTTATTTTCTATTATAATTTTTTAAACATATATAAATAAATAAAATAGTGAGTTATTAATAGATAAGGCTGAAAGTTGTCGTTTGACATTGAATTTTTTAATTGACTTTTTTCAATTGAGATTTTTTTAATTTCAGACAAAAAAATTAGTTTGGTTTGGTTTTTTTTTAATTTTTTTTTTGATTTTTATAAAAAAAAATAACAATTATAATTTGAATGTGATATTCTATTTTATTAACTTAATTAATTTATTTTATCTTTTGTATTTTTTAATCCAACTAAATTAACCAACGGAAGTCGAAGTTTCATTTGGCTGGGATCAAAGCCTGTGTTTGGCAAGTGGGTTTGCAGGCTTTTTTGGCTATTTTAGTCACAAAAAACAAAATAGGCTATTTTAGCCATAACAAACAAAACATCACATCCAACCCATAATCATTACATTCTTCTCTCACAAAAAAACTCAAAAAAACTAAAAAGCCAAAAAGCCCTTCCCAAACCAAGCTTTTAAGCCCAGACTAAAATAACCAAAAAAACCAAAAAGCCAACCCACTTCCCAAGCCAAGCCAAAATTGATTTCAGGGTCTCTTGCCGCTTAATAATTTCTTGCATGTACTTACAATTCTTACTCAGGCTCTGTTTGTGATGTTGATTTGATTTTTCGATTAAAAAAAGTGCAAAAGTCAAAATATGTTTGGCATTTGCAAATAAATAAATAAATAAATAAATTCAGCTACTCTCCCGTAACTGGAGAGTATTGTTTGGCATTGTTGGACCCTGATCCAAACACATGGTGATAATTCAAACTGTGCAGTATGTCAAATCCATTAAGTATATCATTATTATAAAAAATTACATTGATCGAATATCAAAAATCACTTGATTAGATTATATTTTTACCATATTTTATTATGAAAATGTCATTTGAAAATTATATTAAAATATGATATGATCAAATGATTATCGATATTCGATTAATGTAAGTTTTTACAAGAATAATATACTCAATATATTTTACACATTTAACGGTTTGAATTATCATCGTAGATTCAAATTAGAGTCCACCAATGTCGAACAACACCGTTCAGTTAATCGAGCGAAGTTGGGTCCAATTTTTTTTTTTTTTAAAATCTTTGTGTTAGTTTGAAAAGACTAAACCATCCTTAGTCTTCGTTTGGCATGCTAAAAAGTTTAATTTTTTGGTTATTTTAATCAGAAAAAGATAAAATAGATTAAAAAGTCAATAAGACAAAATGTCACATCAAACTATAATCATTTTATTTTTTCTCTCACAAAAGTCAAAAAAATTAAAAAAACTTATTCCAAACGAGATTTTTTAATTCTAGATTAAAATAGTCAAAAAATTAAAAAATTTAAAAACCAACCCACAACTCAAATGAATCTTTAAATTTTTGAAAAAGTCAAAATGAAAGTTTAAGTAAAAAATAAAAGTATGATATTAGTCATTCATATTTTACATATAACTAAAAAAAGTCATTTATAAACACATTTTCTTTTTGTCTACGATCTTTTTTAGAAGTGAAAAAGGTTAATATGTTCAAAAATTTATTAAAAAAATACATTTTTGTGAGTAAAAAAAATTTAAGTGATATTTAATTTTTTTAATTGATGATAAATAATTTAGTAATTTTTTTGATTTTTTTTTAACAAAAATTGACTTTTTATGTTTGCCTCAAACGGCCACTCACTGAAAAGAAACGAGTGAATTTTTACATTTCTGAGACCTCGTTTGGTAATATTGTTTTTTATTCTAAAAATGAAAAAGTCATTAAAAAAATTAAAAAGTCAACAATTAATATCAAAAAGTCAAAAATTCTCTTTTTTCTCTGTTTTTTACATTTCTTTTCGTAAAAAATTAAAAAATTATTTTAAATATACTAATTTTTTTGTATCATATTTTAGCTAAAAAATTAAAAAATTACTTAAAAAATCTGTTTCCAAACCAGGCCTAGGTTTAAACCATCCTATTGCTTCATTATTTCTCGGTTACTGAATCCAATATGTCAATATAAAATACAAATAGGCTAGCAAGATCATCACATGAAACTAGTGTCGGAGATAATAGATTTTTGGTAACTTCAATTTAAAATTAAAATGGAACGGAATCGTCGGTTGAGGTGTGTCAGTGATTTTCTATTCTTTAAGCGAAAAAGCTACAATATAAAAATAATGAGTCGCAACAATTGAGTTGTGAATGTGAATTGTTTTATAAAGTGGATATCAATAAAGTTGCGGTTAGATTTAAACTTAATCTTGATTTAGACTGGACCTAGACTTGTGTTTATCAATGTGCTGAGTTTGGTCTTGAGCTTGGACTTAATCTTGAACTTTGACTAAATTATGCTGTGTTGGGTTTAGCTTGTACATGTGTTTGAGAATTGGGCTTGGATCGGGTTGTGACCCAACATTAGCATCCATTTTGTGACCCATCTAGTTGGTTCATTCAAACATCATTATATATATATTTATTTGTATATATTAAGCAAATGAGAAATCTAAGTTTTTGTGACTCTCATATTTTAATGATGGAGTTGATACTATATTAGTGGTCATATGTTTTTAACCTTTGTAACTCTAACTCTAATGTCTAGAGTTAATGGCCTTGGTTAATGATATTTGATGGCTTCATGGTTAGGGGTTCCTCTACTTGTATAAATAGAGGTCTTTCCCCTCCAACTTGGTAGGATAATCTTGGAGAGATTTTTGATGAAAAATAGAGATGGTGTTTTGAGATAAAAAGTTGGAGATGTTTTTTTCACCACAGGAAAATTTTTCTATTTTTTTTGCTAATCCCTTATTTGGTTCTTATTAGAGAGAGTATAACCATTTTCAAGTTCGCTGAAGTTATTCAGAAAGTATTTCTGCATTAGCTGGTTTCGATTGCCGTATCTTAGGAGATAGACGTCAGCATACCTCCAGCATCTATCGGGAGGTGGTGAATCTGTTTTAAGAAAACTGTGGTATCACACAGATTTCAATTTGCTTCTTTTCTTATCATTTGTTCTTAAATTTTTCAGAATTTAGTTTATCTCGATGAATTCTAATATTTAGTTATTCATGTTAATAATTTGTTTTATTAATAATGTAATCTAATTTATTTTCATATTTTTAATTATGTAGTCTATTATGTATTTTATTCTTTAATAAAAAAAAATTATTTTGTTATTTCTATTTAATTTATTTTATATATTTTTCTTATATTTTTATGAAAAAATACAACAACTAGTACTAACATATGGAGAAGGTGAATGTGCTTTTTTAAGGAAGCTATTGCTATTGAGGTCAAACATACCAGAGTTGATAACAGTTGCTAGTCTACTGAAGAGTGATATGATTAAAGTTGAAG